CACATGCTCCTTCCCTTCCTCTCTCGCTGCATTCAGGGTTTAACTGGCCAGTCAGGTAATAAAGGGCTGCACCTGCCTCCCCCACCTGGAGTGAAACCAGCCTCAGCCCAGTCCCCGGAGCCTGGGGTTTGCCAGAGTCCCACATGACCTCACTCAGTGTCATAGAAACCAAGGGGGTGAATGAAACAGGAACCCCTGGGAGTTCACCCAATGGTCTCTGGGGAGCCCAGGGCTGCACAACGTGTTTGTCCAACCTTCTGAAGTTAATAGGACAAATGCAAAGTACTGCACTTAGGAAGGAACAATCAGTTGCACATGTACAAAATGGGAAATGACTGCCTAGGAAGGAGTACTGCCGAAAGGGATCTGGGGGTCAGAGTGGACCACAACCTAAACATGTGGGGGGAGGGATAGCTCAGTGGTTTGAGCATTGGGCCTGGTAAACCCAGGGTGGTGAGTTCAATCCTTGAGGGGACCATTTAGGGGCAAAAATTGGGGAGTAGTCCTGCTTTGAGCAGGGGGTTGGACTAGATGACCTCCCGAGGTCCCTTCCAACCCTGATATTCTATGAGTCAACAGTGTAATGCAGTTGCAAAAAAAGCAATCTTCATTCTGGAATGTATTAGCAGGAGTGTTGTAAGCAAGGCATGAGAAGTAATTCTTCCGCTGTACTCCACGCTGATTAGGTCTCAGCTGGAGTCTTGTGTCCAGTTCTGGGCACCACATTTCAGGAAAGATGTGGCCACATTGGAGAAAGTCCAGAGAAGAGCAACAAAAATGATTAAAGGTCTAGAAAACATGACGCATGAGGAAAGATTGAAAGAAGTGGGTTTGTTTAGTCTGGAGAGGAGACGAGACATGATAATAGTTTTCAAGTATGTAAAAGGTTGTTACAAGCAGGAGGGAGAAAAATTGTTCTCCTTAACGTCTGAGGACAGGACATGAAGCAATGGGCTTAAATTGCAGCAAGGGCGGTTTAGGTTGGACATTAGGAAAAATTTCCTGTCAGGGTAGCTAAGCACTGGAATAAATTGCCCAGGGAGGTTGTGGAATCTCCATCGTTGGGGTTTTTTAAGAGCAGGTTGGACAAACTCCTGTCAGGGCTGGTCTACATAATACGCAGTCCTGCCTCAGTGCAGGGGCTGGTCTGGATGACCTCTCGCGCTCCCTCCCATCCCGCCATTGCTGTGCTCCTACCAATCTGCATTCAGAACATGCCCATGACTAAACCTGCCCACACCTTCCCCAGCACACCCTTACCCTCATCTCCACCCCGGCCCGGACCCTTCCACTACTTCCCTTCCCTCCACACACCATGTGGGCCCCACCAAACTCCCTACCCACTTCCCCTCCCCTCCCCCCAACTCCCGGTGTACCCCATCAGACCCCCTCCATCCATTTCCTCTCCCCCAGCCCTTGCTATGGGGCCCTCAGACCTCCCCATCCACTTCTCCTTCTGCCTCCCTATCCCATGGCCCCCCAGACCCTCCCATCCACTTCTCCTTCCCAGCACACTCCCACCTGCTTCCTTCTAAACTTTGCCAAGCCCCCGTTTGTCCCCACCACCCCGCCCCGCCCCTGTATAGTTCCCATGAGCACCCGCCCTGTCCCGCCGTACTCTTCACACGGAGCCTGATGGGGACGGTGGTGTTGCCCACGGCGTTCACGGCTGCGCAATGGTAGGTGCCGCTGTCCCTCATCCACTCGGTGTCCTGGATGGTCAGGTTGAACCAGGCGTCGCCCTGCTGCAGCCTGTACCTCGCAGCGTCCGGCCGGATCACCTGGTGCTTGTTGTTGAACCAGAACACTTCAGAGCCCAGGTGGGGGCCCTGCAGCGCGCAGGCCAGCTGGACCTCGCCGCCCTCGAACAGCGACACCTCGGTGCGCTCGGCCGCCAGCTTGGGAACATCTGTCCAGAGAGAGAGACACGGGGGGCATTGCAGTGAGAGCAGTGCCCAGGGCAGGGCACCTCACTCTCAACAGAGCAGGAGCCTGTCCCGCAAGCCCCGCCGGGAGCCCGGGGAGGGGAGCCGGGGTGTGTCCCGCGAGCCCCGGGGGGAGCCGGGGAGCGGAGCCGGGGTCTGTCCTGGGAGCCCTGCGGGGAGCCCGGGGAGGGGAACTGGGGTCTCTCCTGGGAGCCCTGTGGGGAGCCTGGGGAGGGAAGCCAGGGTCTGTCCCGGGAGCCCTGCAGGGCGGCCCAGCTCAGGGAGGGGAGCCAGGGTCTATTCCAGCTCATGCATCATCACCAGGATTGGTAACTAATTTGCAGTTCCAGTGCAGGGCCAAATTCTGCCCTCCACAACCCCTGAGCACCCCGGTGATGACAGGGGGACTATACTAGGGTTGCCAAATTTCTGATTGCAGAAAACCAAACACCCTTGCCCCGCCCCTTCCGCGAGGCCCTGCCCCTTCCCCCGAGGCCCCGCCCCCACTCACTCCATTCCCCCTCGCACTTCCCCACCCTTGCTCACTTGCTCGTTTTCACTGGGCTGTGGTGGGGCCTTGGAGGGGTGTGGGATGCAGGAGGGGGCTCTGGGCTAGGGGGGTAGGAGCAAGAGGTTCAGAGTGTGAGAGGCTGGGGCCTTCGGACTGGGGCAGGGGGTTGGAGTACGGGAGGGGGTGAGGGCTTCGGTTGGCAGTGTGAGCTCTGTGTGGGGCCCGAAATGAGGGGTTCAGAGTGTGGGAGGGGGCTCTGGACTGGGGCAGGGGGTTGGGGGGCAAGGGGGTGATGGCTGCAGCTGGGGGTACAGGCTCCAGGCAGGGGGTTTGGGGTGCAGGAGGGGGCTCAGGGCTGGGGCAGGCTGGTGGGGTGCAGGAGGGGATTCAGGGTGCAGGCTCCGGGCAGCGCTTACCTCAGGCCACTCCTGGGAAGCTTGTCCCTGCGGCCCCTTGGCGGAGGCATGGCCAGGTGGCTCTGTGCACTGCCCTCATCTGCAGGCCCTGCCCCCGCAGCTCCCATTGGCCATGGTTCCTGGCCAATGGGATCTGCAGAGCCAGCGCTCAGGATGGGGTCAGCGCGCAGAGCCCCCATGGCCGCGCCTTTGCCTAGGAGCCGCAGGGAAATGCCAGCCATTTCTGGGAGCCGTGCAGAGCCACGGCAGGCAGGGAACCTGCCTTAGCCCTGCTGCACCACCAACCGGACTTTTAATGGCCTCGTCAGCTATGCTGACAGGAGCCACCCAGGTCCCGTTGAACACCGGATGCCTGGCAACCCTAGACAGCACAGGTGTCTCTGAAGGCAGAGTGAGGACTGCTGGCCCCTTGTGAGGAACGCTTTGGGCTGCAAACCAAGTGCTCTGAGTCAGGAATCACCAAGACGACGGCCATGGGAGCCCACGAAGCCATGCTTACATGCACACAGAGCACCCGCCAGGGCCGCCTCCCCTAGCATTTGCACTGAGTGCGCCTGTCATCGGGGCACAGTTCCCCCATCTGCCAGGTCAAGAAGCCTTGTCCCTGAACCCGCCTCAGCCCCCTGCCCTGCCTCTTGGGGTGGAGCAGCTGTAGGAGCAGCCAGAGCTTTGCCCCCTCCCTCAGGAGCAGACCCCATTTTCCCAGGAGGGGTGGGAGGAGCAGAGAGGGCCCAGCAGCTCAGGACAGCTCTGTCCCTTCATCCCCCTTCAATCCCTGTGAGCAATGGGACAACTCCTCTGCCCCTCCCGCCTTCCCCTCCAGCATCTGGGCTGGGAGGGGGCACAGGGGACTCGCTGCAGCCTCCTCCAGGCCTGGGGAGGGGGGTAAAGAGCCCCTGAGCTGCAGGAGGAGCAGAGCTGTGGCTGGGGCAGAAGGGGGGGAGAGAGGGAGGCAGATGTAATGTTACTTTCAGAGCCCCCCCACTTTTTTCTGGCCACTTTGAGCACTGAGGCTTGGGAGCCGGTGAGGTTTGTCACGCACACAACATTCGCCATGAGCCAGTGAAGGGCGGACATGGCGCCCGGTCCCCACCTGGGGCTCTGACACATGCCTTGGGGTGCTCTCATGAGCCAGACCCAGCCTGGATTTTCCCTGTGGAAATCTGCCTCTCGGTCAGGGCTCCAGGAACTGGTGCCACGTCCCACCCGCACTCCCCATACTTGCTTTGCCAGCAGTTACATGGCCCACGAGTCCCTGCGGCCCCGCCGGGTGGCAGCCGGCCTGCTTACCCAGCCGGACAAGGCACTCCGTGGCTCTGGCCTGCAGAGGGTGGGCTGCGATGCACGTGAACTCCTTGCCCCCAAGGGTGCTGTTGGACTGCATGACGTAGATGTTGCTGGATGGTTTCAAGCTGCCCAGCACGCGGTTCCGCCAGTCTCTCCACCAGAGTGTGACACGGGGCAGGCCTCCCGCCCAGTCGCAGGACAGCATGAGGAACTCATTCTGCTTCGTAGCCATGGCAGAACAGGTGGGGTTCCCCACGGGGACCCCTGGGGGACAGAGACAGCAGCATCTTAGAGACAAGCATCCCTGCCTACATCTCACCTGGTGGAAACGCTGCACGTCCTATCATGCGTTTCCCCAGGTCTCTGCTCTCCACACATAAACTGGGAAGAGTTGGGTGTTTCCAAATGCCCCAAAGGGCACTTTCTGCCCCAGAACTTCTGACATTCAAACTCTGGGCCTCATGCGGTAAATACCCCAGAGAACCAGCACTCACTGGCCCTGCGGGGAGCTCCATGGAGTTACATCAGTGTGAGTGAGAGGAGAATCAAGCCTGAGGTACAGTCCCACAGGCTCTCCAGCCCATTAGCGTGATCTCTACTGAGGGACCAGACCAGGCCATGAAGGAACCAGGAGAAAACATGCCAACATCCCTAACATTCCTCCACACCCCTGGAGACCTCCCTGCACCTCTCATGGGAGTCCTGAGCTCCTGGGTGCTGGGCTAGCTTGCTGACCACAGAACTCTCTGGGGTTTGCACCACCTGTGTCTGCTTCCACGGGACCAGCACGGCCTGCCGAGCCCGTCATCTTAGTCAGGCACAAGCGCCTCTTGGACATTTATGTCGTGACTCTGGGTTGGTTCATTGTGATGGGATGGGATGAGCGACATCATCCCATTGGGCAAAGCCGTCGCCGGGACATGATGTGACCTGGCACCACGATGGGGTTTTGCAGGCCCTGGAAGTGATTTCATGGCCTACAGGCACCTCACAAACCAAACCCCTCCAGAGCGAAGTGGTTCTGGAATACAGGCGAGCCTGGAGAGTTAGTCTCGTGGCCGCACGGGTTCCTGACGCTGCAGCCATCTCGCCTGTAGGCCCAGTGTTTGCACTGGGGGCATCGGCACCTTATTCCTATTTCCGTTCTGGGAATGAGAGCCAGAGCAAAGCCAGCTCCTACACAAGTCACCTTCACTAGCCGTGTCACAGTGCTGCAATCAAGCAGTACCCCTGTAGCTCCCTGTTGCCAGACCAATGGTGCCATCTACTCAGGGCCCCTGGAGCCCTGAATGTCCGCTTGAGGCCTTACAGTAAGCAGGGAGGAACTGCGCCCTTGTTTGGAGAGCTGCTTTCCACAGCATCAGCCTTGTTTCTACCCGCCAGCTGGAGACTCCATCTCCACATGCTGGCGTGGGCTCTCAGGGGGCAGAGCACAGGACCCGGCTGCCTTACGGAAGGGGCAGCGGTGTTTCTATTCCTGGGCGGCACTGAGCGGGCAGGGCGAGGGTACTTACACACAGTGGTGGTGCAGACAGCATCTTCTCTGAGTGCTGGGTGGGAAGCCAGGCAGGTGTACGAGCTGCCGTTCCGGACGTCCACCCCTCGCTGGATTCTGGTAGCATTGGAGTAGGACGCCGCAGCGTCTGCTTCCCGGCCGGCTCTCACCCACCGCAGCCGCGCTGGGGGGAACCCGCCAGGCCACGAACACTGCAGAGCAATGTCCCGGAAATTGGCAGCAGGGACTGGTGTGCAGCTGGGCTTCCCCTCGGGCAGATCTGTGCGTGGGGCAAAGATTGTATCAACAGCAAGAGGAGTTAGCGACACCGGGAAGAACACAAGGCCTGCTGCTTGGGGCTGCCATGCGCAGGAGCTGCACTGGGGCCAGGGAGTCAGGGACCATGGGGCAGCTCTGTTTGTGTGGCTCTGTGGGCTCTTCCCAATGGGGCCAGCTCCCTGGCGAAGCGCCGTAGGAGCAATGGAGAGGAGCAGGGAGAGCACAGGGTACTCGGCGACCTGCGACGTGGGTTTGGATCGCTAAGCCCAAGACGTGCTGGGCGGGCCCTGGCCACCGTCAGTGCTAAGGTGCGAACTTGAGGAGCAAGAGCAGCCGATGGAGACAGAGGTCGAGTTCCCTTTGGCACGTTGCTGTCCCTCTGGTACCACGAGACTGCTCCCCAGCAAGGCGTCTGAGCCAGGGCCAGTGTGAGGGAGGGGCAGGGCAGGCATGTGGCCCCTCTTCCGTAAAGGCTGCCCCCTCACCGGAATGGTGGTTTGTACCCTAGGTGGGGTAGCTGTGGCCTCAACCCAGTGACACCCAGGACCTTTGGAGTTTGCAGAGGGCAGAAAGCAGCAAGCTGGGGACGGGACAGCGACCCAGCGGCTCTGAG